TGAATACAGCTGCCTCTTATTTTTTCGTGTCAATTCATAAGAGTGGCCATGAGATGTGGCCCTACTCACAGGCTAATTTTTCTTTCTTTGTCTTTGTTGTGTGAAGCAGAGAAGGTATTCTTCATATTTATAATGTTATATGTTTTCCCTTTTCATTTTCTACAGGCTGCAGAAAGGATTCTGAAAAAAGCAGAACAGACTCATAAGCAAAGAGTTGAGGTGAGCTTGGAAATTCCATTGTTAAAAGGAATAGTTACAAAATGATTATTACATTAAATTATTGCATTAATTCACATCTCTGAGATACATACAGCACTGTTCACAAATAAGTTGACTCTGATTGGAGTCACCATTCAGCTCAATTCACACTCTCTGTTAGAATCGAGTATTACAAATCAGCCATTGAGAGTTGAGTCAAGAATTGAGACTTGCAAGACATATGAATGTGCTTTTCTGATTTCTCGGTATGTATAATTTTATCTGAATCAATTCTCGATCCCTTTACTCAATTCTTGAAACTTTAAAGTTAATGCAAGGGTCATGTATTAGGTGTCAAGTTGAACAGTATTATAAAAGCAGAGTTTCAATGTCAGACGGTGATAACAGTGGCAAATCCAGATCTTAAAATCACATTGGTCTGTTATCAAAAATACTCCCTGGACTAAAATTTCTTATTTGAGTCAAAAAGTCCCTCTTTCCCTAGAATTGTCCCCAGATTGTATGTTTGCCAAAGTACAAGTGTCTTTTTTTCCTTGACTAGCTTCAGCTACTTATATTTAGCTTTTTGCCTTTTATTGTTATAGAAATTTAATGAATATCTTGATGGGCTGACAGAACATTATGACATCCCTAAAGTCAGTTGGACAAAGTAACCACCCTGGAGAAGTCTTCATGAAAATGGATAGTAATCAAACCACCGCTCAGAGGAACCAACATAATTTTATGTCAGCTACTGTACATGTACTCATGCCTGAATGCTCTCTCAGACATTAGACCAAGGCCTTTATTGTGCTTCTTTTTTGACCATTAAAGAAATTTAAGACAGTCAGTAATGAAATTGAGCTCATTCAGCAAAGAATTTTGCTTCTTAATTAGCTTTTTGTTCTCTAAGAAAAGTGTATATTTTTTCAGTTTGTATATTAAATTATTCAACTGCAGTTTTTGTTTCAAATGTTGATTGATGTCACAGTAGGGCTTTTTTTTACAGTTTTTGTCAATGGGATTGATCTGTTGTACATTTCAATGAGAAAGATAAACAAAAGTGGAATTCTTGTAGCAGTGGTAAAATGACATCATTGCGAAAATGGCTTTAATGTGAAATATTTTTGACATGATGTTGAAATGATTTTATGCATGAAACAAACTGAAACGACAAACGAGCATGACTGTGATTGTGCATCAAACAGACTTGCCCTGCATGGGATTGCAACAAATTCCCAGCTGAAAAAGACTGCTAAAAATTCATTTTCTATAACTTGGGGCACCTGAAACTGGGCTGACACTAAAAGGTCATGTGACATCATCTGTATAAAAATGAAAGTAATATGATTTTCCCTTCTGGGTCATATTTTAAACAAAATAATAGTGATTTGGTTTTTCAAGCCCGCACCTTTTTCTAAAGATGAGTAAGTTCATAGCCGGTCATGTGACCAAAATGTGATTTTTAAAATTATGAATTACCTCTTTCTTAACACAAATTTTGCACGTAAACTTCAAGGAAAATGTTGAAAAGATGATGTGGTATCTGTTACAGCAAATCTGAGCATAACTATCAAATGATTAACAAGATACAAGCAAAAAGTAGTTTTGGCCACCATGTTGGACAGCAAGAGTATGTCCTCCAAGATGGCATCCAGTACAAATCATACTACTGTGTTGAAAAAATCAAAGTGTCATAAAATATCTCCCTCTCAAATTTGGGGTGCAATTCTTCCTTTAAACAATGAGTAGAAATCTTGCTGATACCAAGATTCTTGGCATCAGCAAGATTCCAACCAGTTTAAAGGAAGCATTGGTCACGTGACCTCTTAATGCAAGTGGCCTACGGAATAATCTTAATAAAGACTCTTTTGGTAGTGAAGTGACAACTTGATGTTTTGACCTTACAACTATACTCACTGATAACACAAATCACAAACGATTATAAATATTATTTATTCATTTTGTTATGGAAACCGTTTCTAAGGTGAAATAAAAATCATTCTATTTCTTTATGAATCCTTGAAGGTTACAGAAAGGAACTCTGGGAAAATCTTTTCAAGAATTGCATATAGAACGTGTCAATTTTGTATACACTGTAGATAAAATAAAAAAATCTGAACTTAACACTGTGGTAAATCTTTTACTGAACTTTACGCAAGATTATCTGCTTAACATGGTATAGCATCATCAGAGGTACTTAAAGTGTATGCACATTATGTAATAAACAGATTTAATCAGTTTTGATGTTAATAAATAGGCTACAAGTTACTGTTGAACATTGTCTCTTTTACTGTCTTGTCTACTGCATCCTTAATTTGTTGCTAATGATAAAAATGACCACCCTTGTGGAATGCCTTACTGACTGTTTAATACAGTTTGAATTTTTAATACAGGTTTGACTAAGCTAAGAGTTATTCAACAAAATGAAGATTGTGAAAAAGCAAAATATCCATCCCATGACAAATCAGCCTCAAAATGATTCTACCTTAGTTTGTTATGCAAAAAGAAAACAAGTAAAAGACCACTTGACACCATACACAGTGAATCTGTTGTACTAGTATGGTACATATTGACAAAGTGGCCATTTTATAGCGGTAAAGACAGTAAAAAATAACTCATGGGGACCTGAATACTGAATAGAGATGAGCTCTTAACACAGGTCAGTTTTACAGTTATCAAGGAAAACTATTTCTGGAACTTTGGTTAGTGACCGCTTAACCCTTTAAATCCCAATGGTGATCAACATCAATTTTCTCCCAACAATATTCATACCTTGTCAAGAGATCAGGTTATGAGAATTTATGAAATGATCAATAAAGAGAAAATGCTTTGATCTGCGATCAAATTCTCCCAACTAATTCTTAAAGGAAATGTATGGAGATCAGTTTAGATAATTTCTATGTGGATATTGAGGCTTAAAGGGTTAATAGAGAGTGATTGTTTAGTACAAGTTTGACTGTACTACAATCACTACTGAGGTTATGTATATATCCTACATCTATAAAAGGCAGACATTTTAATCCCTTTGCTCCTCACACTGCCCACTGTACAATTTAAGTTACATTCCAAGGAATGGTTATGTGATTGTTCAGTAGGACTTTAAGAGAAAACCTAATTTATAATATATAAAATATATTAGTTTTTCTGTTGAAAACTACAGCAGTGTTAAAGGCCAAACTTTGCCTCCTGTTGTTTGTCAGTTAATTCATCAAGTAATTCACCAACAGACAACTCAATTCTGGCATTACTGCCTACACCTTGAAACCTGTCCAGAAAACCTTTTGGAGGCTCACACCTTTCAAACTTAACATCTTTGCCGAATCTCTCAATACACAGTGCTTTTAAATCAGAGCAAAACCCATCAGCTAGCCCCATAGAAACTGCATCCTTGCCAATGAAGAAGTCACCAGAGAATGCTGACTTATGATTGGGATCAAGACTTGGTCTCCTTTCCTTTACCAACTGTATAAAGTTGTCGTGGACACTGTGTAGTATCTTGGCTGTATGATCGACATCTGCTTGCTTGAGGGGTTTAAAGGGATCCATACGGACCTTGTTCTCCCCAGCTGTAATAAGTCGCCATTCAAGACCTAAACAAGACACAAATATAAGTTCACTGTCTATTCACTATTGGTTTAACTTTGAACACCCGTGCACAGAACATTATTTGGCCATGATACACAGACATTTTTTCAGTAAGTTGTCTTGACATTTTACTGCAACACAAGTTGCAAGACACACTGCTTTTGGAGGGAACACCCTCAAATATAGTTTTTGCACAGGTAACTCAAGCTCAATTATGAGATTTTTATGTTGTGACCATGTATAATAGTGCATACTGATAACTTTAAAAATGCTGTAGACATAAATGGTTTAAGGATTTACTTGGCTTTTCTGTTTCTTCCCCTAAAGATGGGGCTGGAGTGCAAATGCGGGAGTCAAATAAATCACCAAAATCAGAAAATGACATTGAATGAGGACAAAAAAAAAACACACACACAGGAAGCAAGAACACATCATGGAAATAAGGTAAGACTTTTCATTGAGAACTTCTGTGAACAGTTCTTGATTCTATTACTGGGATTCCCATGCAAGTCCCTCATTTTTATGGCAATTTTGAGATTATGCAATCTCATACTGAGCTTGCACTTCCTGTGCTGAGTGGCATGCTTATTTTGGGTGCGGCTTCACAAGGCGGGGACTTGTGTTAACTTGCCTTACAAAAGCACAAGAAAAAAATCAACAGACAATTTGCCAGAAAAATTGCCCACTGGAACAACTATTTCGTCCAACCGCTGACGCCCCTTACCCAGCCAGCCGCTGGACCCACAGGTCCGTATGAAATAAACCGTGCTCACTGTTTGAGAACGCTTTGAACTTACCTAGCTTTTTAATGGCTTCTTCGAAGCCAAAATTTCCAAACACGGCACCAATAGATCCCACCACAGAGTTAGGATCCACAAAAATTTCATCTCCCGCCAATGCAAGCCAATACCCCCCTGACGCAGCATAATCTTCAGTAAACGAGAGCACGGGAACTTCAGTCGCCTTTGATAAATTTCTTATTCTTTGATATATCAGACTGGATTGAACAGCACTGCCTCCTGGGCTATTAATCTCCAGGCAAACAGCCTTTGGTTTGACTTTTTTGATGTCAAATGCCTTGCCGAGGTGCTTGTCAATTTTCTGCAAGTTGAGTCCTTGTCCTCTGGACTGTGGCCGAATCGTGCCTTGTAGTCTTACAATTCGAACGACATTTTTCGCCCCCCACGGTAAATAACTGCGAACCTTGCTCATGATTTAGCTCGTCGATCTAAGCAAAGTAAGAAAGTGCTTTTTCCACGAACCAGAAAGTGCAACTGAAAGCAAATGTTGCGCGATCAAAGAGTAAGAGTGGAAACTGGTATTTTGTTTTGGGTGAGATTCCGCTGACAAATTATGAGCAAGCAAGTTTTAAGGAAAAAATGGAAGTTGCGTTTGTTTTTACGAGCTTTTGCTCTTTCTGCTAGGCACAGAAAATTGCGAATAAGCCATAGTTGGCCAATGGATAATCAAAATAACCGTATAACAGAAATCGATAATGAAGGAAACCATGGCGAAGCTACCGAGAAACCTTCGAGAATTTGTGATCAGGATTCAATCTCAGCAAACGTCAAATGCGAAGAAGATACTTCATCGCGCTCTTCATCGCAGGACTCGCAATCAAAACCAACACTAGGGAACTCTTCTCAGACCGTGGACCTTGTGGAAATAAGCAGCGATGATGAACTTCAAATTGTGGAAGTGACCATGACAGAAAGCGTCAAAAAAGCTGCTGCGGGCGATGGAACTGATCGTGACCAAAATCCAAGCTCGTCGACGACGACGTCTGGAAGAACAAGTCCAAAAGACATTACATGCTCTGTTTGTCTCAGTGAATATGAGAACAAAGCTTTTGTAGACAAGTGTTTTCGTATCCTTGAAGCTTGTATTTGTTTTCATTGGCTTCTTGCGTAATGCTAGCTTTTACAAAATTAAGTCTTATTCTAAGGTTCCGATTGTTCAAAAGGTGGATTGTCAGGATTGAAACGCAAGTGAATTCCTTCATACGTATCTCACCCTTGCTCCAAGAGGTTATTTTCTGGGTACTCCGGTTGGAGCAACTAAAGAATACAAGGCCACTCATGTCCACCTTGTCGGACAGCTTCAAAGAAGGTGTCATAAAAACAATCCACGCTTTAAAACCCAACATTTCTAATCTTCATTTCGACCAAGAATGGTAGAGGAAGAACCACTATGTAAATGTGCTACCTCTAAGTCATTGTTTTTTAAGCTTGTTTGTTAATATATATTTTAATATTTTTGTAAAGGATAGTGCTGTCCACCTAGTGAACAACGGGGACAAGATTTCTGTCCCATTGTTCCACAATGAGGCAGCAAAACAATGAAGCAAATATGGACTGTCCACTTACATGCACTTTACCTTAATCATCCATTTAGATGCTTTTTGTTACTTCTGTATATTGCAATGGTCCGAGATAGTCCAGACATGCCCTCTGTGTAAGTCAAGCTTCACTTCTATCATTCATAGTGTCAAATCTATGGACAACTACCAGCAGGTAATTAAGTTCTCACATCTTTATCAAAGATTGCTTGGAGCTCACATCATGTCCCTAGTTCTTGTTGCTGGAATGTTAATTCCTTCAGGTTGAAAATCAAGTAGCATTGATTCCAGGGCCGTAATCCTTTAAGTCCCAGGAGTGACAAAAATCAATTTTCTCCAAACAATACAAATACATAATCAAGAGAAAATGTTGTGAGAATATATAAAGTAATCACTTCATGGAAAACGCTTTGATCTTCAAGAAAATTCTCCCAACAAATTCATTAAGGAAATGTATGGAGATCAGTTTTGAGCATTTGTATGTGGATATTAAAGGGTTAAGTCAGGTCCAGGCCCAGGAGTGTCAGAAAAAAGGTGCTTTGGGGATGGTCTCAACTCCTTACTGAAGGTCTAGGTTACATGAATAATTTATTGATTTACTGATTACAGAACGTTTGGAAGCATCTATGTCCAGAAATTAAGATGCTGAAAACAGATTTTCACAATATTTTTATAAAATGAAATTTTGGCTTGTTTTGAGCTCCTTTTGGAATTGAAAGTATTAAGCCCTGGCAGCTGTTAGCCCTATTAAGTTCCAAGTATGGTTTTATTTCATTTTAGTCTATTTGTTTGTTTGTTTTTTTTACAGCATTACTTATCAAAACCAGAAGTCAACACTTCGGCAATTCATCATCAGTCTCAAGGTGATGGAAGACGGTTCCGTTATCGAACAACATTAGCCGATGGGAGTCAGCATCAGCAACAGACTCAAAGAAGACAACAGGGAGTGAATGATGCTTGGGCTCAAAGGGAGCAGCGACGGCAGGCTCATTTGTCATTACAGAGAAACAGAGGGGTTATAGCTAGGGAACGGAGAAGGTACATATATGTACTTCTGTTTTTTTGTTTTTATGTCTTTTCAATATACTCTAGGTACTAGGTCAAACATTCTTCCTTCTTTTGGCTCTTACTTCATGAATAGGACTTAGTTACATGTAACAAAGGGGAACAAAACGTCATCAGAATTCTGTATTTCTTCAACCTGGGTTTTTCCTTTTTTTCCATGAACTCTGTTTTGTAAATCATTCAAAGTCTCACGATGCATAAAAAGCATTCACTAGTGAGAACTGCTCCTATGAACCTGTATTCATTTGTTTGGCTAACAAAATATTGATCTTATACTATAAAACAAACACAGGACCATTTACAGTGGCAATCTATGGGTGCAAGGAGTAACTCAGACAGGACGACCTCGGCAGAGAGATATTTGTAAGTGAAATTTACCACCAGTATAACAACTACGAAAGAATAGTTCATCAACATGACTCTATATAGTATTTAAGCAAATTTATCACAGTCGCCAATTCCAATATTACAAATAAATATTACATATTTGTGGTGTATTTTTCCTAATTAAATTGTTTACATATTCCATAGCTCCGGCATTTTTTCGCGTCAACCCTGCTTGTTCCCATCGTTTGATTCCATGGCTTAACAGAGATCTGAGAGTGTTGCTGCACGACGAGGAGAGTCATGTTAATTTTCTTCTTCAGATTATTTTGTCTCTCATTACCAAGTGAGTAATAAAGTCTTGGTTCCCTTTAATATGTTTAACGAATTCCAAAATACTGCAAGCGACTTAGGAAAACCCCTTGACAGCCAGAAGTATGCTGAAATGGTTTCTTTCCATGTGAAACTGCTGCAAAAAATGTAGAAGGGTACACCAATTATGTTAAGCACAGGGTGCAAATGGACTGTTAAGGATACTGGGCTGCCTGTGGTTAAAGGCTTTTTCCTTTTTTCGTCCCGCCATTTTGAGTCGGAAGATGGCGCTGGGACTAGATCGCTGTCAAAGTGACAACTTGGTTCAAATAACTAAAATCAGTACTTCAAAGATTAGAATTTTGTACTGCATTATCCTTAATTTCTAAGAACCACTATTTAAGGCCGGTCGGCAGACTGTAGCACTAGATTGAAATTTCACGGGTAACAGAAAGCCATTCAAAATATCGCATGAAAAATACAATGGTCACATGACCAAATAATTCTACTATTTCACCCGATTAAAAAAAGTTCAACCAAAAATAGTGTAGCATGGTTATAAAGTAAACGAAATCCAGGATCGGAGGTATTTTGTAAACTGTTATTTTTACCTTGTTTTTTTTTTCTCAGGGTTGAGCTGACTTCAGAGGACTTTTGTAATCAACTGCGCCCTTTTCTGTTTGACAAAACAGAACATTTTATTCACGAATTTATAAGCTTTGCTCGTTCGCCATTTGATATCACTGCTTATGATGAGCGTGCGCAGTATAGCTGGCCTAACGAGTCACGTGACCAAGTTAGAGACACGCCCACAGTGTTCAACAGTAGTTCTGCAGGTGTGGATCAATTATCTAACTGTTCTTTTTTCTCTTTGTCTTGATGCTTTCTTGAATCGCGCGACTTCGAAAGACAAGCGTCGTCAGTAATGAGGATGTTTGTGTGTATTAGTCAGTGAAAGCTTTCTGTCGTCGTACGCGAAATCTCCAACAACAAAAACAGTTGCAGAGAAGCAATATAGTTCGTGTGCAACTATCTCCGCAGCTGCCACTTGCGTGACGAGTTACTGGTTCTTTCGTTGAATGTCGATGTTTGCTGAAATTTATTCATTTGCTTGTCGTTTTTTTCGTTGGTTCATTTTTGTGTTCTCTTTGTTCTTGTCATGTAGGTTGGCAAACGCCAGCACCAGGCCCGTCTGGAGTATCTCTGTTTGACTTATCCGAAACAGACTGGAACAGAGATTCTCCAGTGTTGCGAATCGACGTCACCAACTGGTCTCCTGATTCATCTCCAGGCCAAGCAGGAAATTTTGAGCCCAGTACGATGGAGACCGTGACCATCTCATCAAGCAACTCTTCCCAGACTGTATCAGTAGAAAATTTAGAAAGCGACGAACGTTCTAATGGTTCCCCCTGTTTTAATGTCGAAAGGAAGAGACGTATTTCGGTCACTGAGACGACCAGCAATGGGGAAAATCGCGGGAAATCGAGAAAAAAGCATAGTAAACACAAACATAAACACAGACATAAACACAAGCGCAGGCATGAGCGTAAAGATTCGCTGAGATATAACAAAAGCAGACGTTCTGACAGCCCGGAAAGACAGCCCAGTATGCCAGGTCCAAGCAATCGCGTTTCCGTTGATTCGTCGATAACTGAAATCCCGGTAGATGTCATTATTTTAAGTGATGGCACTGCCTCGCCGGATGTTTTTTATAGTGACAGAAAGTCTAGAAGCATTGATTTCTCAAATTACCGCCGAAGAAGAAAGCGGAAGCCGTCATCATCGCGGTCTCCGCCATCAAGATCTACAAGTAAAGGCGAAAGGAGCCTGGGAAGTAGTAATAGACATCGGTCCAGGTCAAGGTCAGAATCAAGGGAGAAAAGAAAAACTAGCCCGCATGGTGAGAGGTCTTTATCTACATATTCAGAAGCTCATTCACGACGTAAAAATTCTTGTTCAAGAAATACAGGGAAAGCTTATCGTCGATCTAGATCTAGGGAGGGTGGTTCGCCCTCACGAGAACAGAGCAAAGAAAGATTTAAGAGGGGGAAGAAATCACGATCACGATCACGATCGAGACAATCGGATTCAATCTCCCAAAAACGACATCGTTTGAAATGGGAAAGAAATTCTCGGGAGGATTCATTGCATGAACAATCCAGCTCTTCAGGCTTTATAAAGAAAAAATATGAACGAGAAAAACGGAGGTCGCACTCTCGTTCTTCGAGTCGATCACAGTCTCGATCAAAAGGGAAGACAGCTCTGGTCTCTCGAGGAGCGAAATCTAGAACATGGAGGAAAAGTGACCGTGATCCACATTTGCGATCTATATCGCCGTTGCCGATACGGCACGAATCTTCCTCATTTTCACGCGATTCTAGATCGCGTTCTCCAAAGAGAGACTCTCGATCACGATCACGACATCGATTGTCACTGTCTTCATCACGAAATCTTACAGACACTTCACGAGATTCACGTTCTCCGTCACACAAGGCAATTGAATCAAAAGCAAATTCAGCTTCAGAGTCGAACGAGTCAACTGACCAGAGTAATGAGGATATCAGGAAGGAAATTGAGGATTTAGAACTTCGTATTAATGCTGATAAGAAGCGATTGTTAAAACTACTTATCAAGCAGGAGAGAACGAAAGGCGATGGGATAACAGCCATCAGCGAGGAAACTGAAAGTGCACCACGTGAAGAAGACCATCTTTGACCTTGATACCTGAGATGACAATCAGCCTAAAACGCAGTAGACTGCGTAGCACAGCAGGCAGTTGAAAGTAATGGGCGCACGGACGAACGGGGCTCGCGTGCCCGCGTTCTCTCTCTTAAGCGCTTGCTAAGCAGGCTAAATACGCAGGTGTTTGTTTCTTGCTCTTCGCGAATTCGTTACGATGTCGCTGAGAGGAAACTCAACCCGTCCCCAGTAACTTACGCGGACGCTGTGCCTCTTCGCTACTGAGAGGAGAAAGACCTGGAACTGAGCTGGTAAAGGACGTTGTCGGAAGAGTTTGAAGAGAAAGTCTGGGTTCAAAGTTATGCAGTCTTGCCTCCCTTTGTCTCTTCCTCCTCTATTGAAATTTGAGGATACTGATGATGGTTGAAGACGGACAACTAAAAGCGCCTTACGATGAGCAATAAGCAAGCGACTGGTAATGACAAGAACCATGGGAGACTTTTAACGACTATTTATTTCCTCATGTTAAAAAATAAATCGACAACGAAAATTCATACATTGCTCACTGACAGAAAATGTAGTCATTTTTTTGCATTAAAAAATGCACTCTTGTTGTAAAAAATAAATATACAAAAGGTAACAGCATTGAGTATTCTCGTGCGTTTTTTGAAATGTTGAAAAGCCATAAAGTAAATTGACAGAACTCAAATCCAGCTCTCTGTAATGCATGAAATCTCTTTGATTAAAGAAAAATGCAGTATCTATTGAAATCAGAAGTAGAAAGAATGACCCCTGAGGCAAATATAATATCATCAAAATATAAAATAATCTCATCAACTAAAATCAGAGAATAAGTGATCCACTAGAAGGCCGTCTACACAACTGACTCGGGAGGATTTTCCTTCCATGCTACGGCATGTATTTCAACCCTTGTTTCTGCACATTTACTGAAAAAAGAGAATAAAAATGGCATTTAATTTTGATAATACAAAACTCGATTTAAGGTTAATCGTGTTCGGATTTTGTGATCTCTGGTAAAACGTCGTGTGTAGCTTGTAACATTTACGTTGACATGCGATCAGGTGGTTCTTTTTCCCTTTTTCTTTGGATGGCGATTTCTCCTTTGCCCCTCGAAGGCTTTAGCGCTCCACCGGAAAAAGAAAACGCCCGCTCGCAGGTTGCAGTAAAGAACGGACTTGTTTGTTGTTATGACTGTTCGAGTGAAGGTGCATTATGGGAAATGTAGAAGTGGCGTATGCGACTCGAAGGATCTGAAAAACTGCTTAGCTACTGATTTAGCGAAAAATTGTGCACCGGAAGTCGTGTTTAGTCCTTTTCGCGCCTTCGAGTTGTAATTATTTGACGTTGGGTTGTCTGCTCTCTGCCTAATATCTTACCTTTGCGGTCTCAAATTGTGACGATTCGCAACTGCATTGAGAACACTTACATCCGCGCGTACGGCTCTCATTAACCGCTGCAGAATAGAACAAGAAAGATAAGATAAGCAAAGTCCTAAACAAGACCAGAAGCACGCTCGCATTGAAATGATGCGCCTACAACTCGGCTTGGAGTGCTTAAACTTATTTCGGGAATGACCGAACTTCTTAACATTTGCATGTCCAAATTTTATCTTGGGATTTGAGCCACTTAGAAACGGAGAAATATTTTGAATGTAGAATATATTGAAACAAATAGTACAAAAAAAGCTTTGACCTTACCTCTCTGAAAGAGCCCTTATGATGAACTATCTCCGATATCGCTCGAACGGGAATCGCAACAAACGAACACAGAGCCAACAGCCATGCGACGGCCTGGGCCCAATCAGGGTAGACATACCCATCATAACTGAGTCTTTTCCATTGAGTAATACTTCCCAATAAAATAAGCTGTGATGCAAAAAAGATGGAGAAAATATTCAGCCCTTCTCTGAAACGTACTGGTTTTACTCAATACGTCACGAATAAAAGATACCAGACACATCAAAGCTTAACTGTAGTAAATTCGTTCCCAATCCCGACTTTTTCAGATTGAAAAAGATGAAATTTTCGTGATGGCGCGTCTGTTCTCATTAAATTTGCCCGAGGCTTGACTGGGGAAGAGTCAATATTCGCGCATGTGCTCCTCAGTGATTCGCGGCATTAATGTGAGAGGAGACTAGGACTCAGAAAAGGTAAGATGTCTTTCCTTATCCGATATTTTTTCCTTACCGTTCCAACAGCAGGTGTCACATATTTCCAGCAAAATCGAAAATACAAGTTTGGCTTCTTCCCAATCATGGAATAGATGTTATCACAGAACTTATCAGCCCCTGTCGTAANCTTTCCTTATCCGATATTTTTTCCTTACCGTTCCAACAGCAGGTGTCACATATTTCCAGCAAAATCGAAAATACAAGTTTGGCTTCTTCCCAATCATGGAATAGATGTTATCACAGAACTTATCAGCCCCTGTCGTAAAACAATAGCAGAATAAAGACTCCTTCTTCACGATCACGTGATACTATCTTTGAGGCTGTACGATTGGCCACTTAAGAAACAAGAAAGGAACTGGAGCCGAAATGTGTCCGGCAGTTGTTTTTGGGATCATCACTGGGGACGCATTACTGGCTGCTATTGGCCAATGTTTTTACCTGTCACCAGTAACAGTCCCAGAAGTCTTTGCGAAAGTTAACTCGGCCCAGTTTCGCTCTTGCCTCTAAAGTGGCGAATTGACGGTGAAATGGTACCTACCGTATCCCCAGCTGACAGCTAATGCCTCAAAAATGACCACAAAAATCAACGATAAACCAGCGCTCTGGCTGTCAAAGATATTCAACACATAGATTCCACCCTATATAGAAAATAGCAGAAACACTGTGATCGGATCAGATATAGCCTAGGACCAGGCTCCGCTGTGGCGAAAAAGGCGTAAAAAAAATCGGTGAGAGAAACGGGCCGAGCGAAAGCCTGGGCCTTTCCTCCCTCTCCAGTCCACCCGACGGCACACTTCGCTCGCCGGTGTTTTTTTGCTGTTTCATCCCGTTTTTTGCCTTTTTAAACTCACCAGCGAGCCTGGTCCATGGCTAAATGAGATAACATGACGGAACACTAGAAACAACTGGTTTACGCTACACATTTGCTGAAATTGAACATAGTAATTACGAGGAAAGTATTTAGTATCACTGCTTTGTGACCCAGACTTGGTAAGACAAATTATCCCTTTGTAGGACAACACAATTGCAGAAGCAATAACACAGGGAAACAATAGAACAAAAACTGGCAACGATCCTCTCCCGTGGCTTAAAAACGGGCTCTACAAAGGAACCCCTCGTTTATAGCGCCCAACATCACAGAATCTCTATGTAAAATTCGCATGGGTGGGGTTGCTATCCTTGCAAAGTAACGTTACCTGAGTAACACAGGAAAGTCCAATAAGGTAGGATACGAGGCACACAACCAGGAGAACCAATCCCTTGTATGCCCGCAGTTTGCTGAAACTGTCCATTAACGCTGCCATAATTGTGGCCGTGAACACAAACTGTACGTCGTCAAAAGAGCAAGAACATGAATTAGTGCAGAGACAAGAGGAGAGGGAATAAAAGAGAATGGAAATGGGGTGGGAAGAGAATAGAGGGAGGGGAGCCGATTACCCGAGGGAGAGGAAAGGGAAGGGGGAAGCAAGATTAGAGAGGATAGTGGAGAGGAGAAAGTTGGAAAGAAAAGAAGAGACAAAGGTTAATAGATGGCAAAGGAGGGAGAGGGAAGGAAAACGACGAAAGATGATCGCTGCTAGCAGGTAAAAATAAAATATGGAGGGAGGGACAGACTTAGTTCCTCCGCGCCCACCACGGGTTAGGGGGTGGAGACGTATGACATTTTAGACTAGGACAGACTGGTAGTGCTGAATAGAGAAGAGGCAATTGGGCCACTATCTTTTTTTCCTTAGGTACAATACAGTTTGTTCTCAGTGAGTTCTCCCATCACCAAGCGGTACAATTACGAGTCGACTCACCTGACTTCCGAGTCCAATAGTAAAGAGCATAAAGAAAAACAGTACAGCCCAAACTGAGGCACCAGGCATCTGGGCAATGCCTTCTGGGTAGGCCACAAAGCCAATTCCTGGTCCTGCAAGAGTCGGAATCGGGTAATGCGTAATGTTGGTTCAAATGAGAAATATCAAAGGCGCTAAATCGTAGTTACGCTCATACTCTCAATAATAATTATAATCTTCACAGCAGCATAATCACAGAAACAGAATCAGAAAGGTAATTCGAATAGTTCGTAATTTTAACAAAACCGTTTTGGCAAAATCACGAGCAAATTGCTAGGGAAAGTACGTTTGGAGGCTGAAAAATGTGGGGATTTTATCAAAGGCAAAGCTTCGCTATGTTTAGCACTGTGTAATTCTGGAAATAAAGAGTATTGGGGTTTGTTTACACATATTGCCGCAGATGTTGGAGATTGTCCTTATGTACTAAAACACGGAACAAGGAACACAACGAAACACTCGCGAACACGGAAATGAGCACAACAAACGAAAAAGACATTTGATCACGTACAAATTTGGAGTAATAATCCCGGAGTTCCGAGAGAGTCATGTCTTCTTGACTGTTTTTTTTACCTGAGGAAACAACCTCTGACACGTCTTTCTTCAGTGTGTGGGCCATAAATCCGATGACGCTGAAAATAGGAAATCCGCCGAACAGACTTGTCATGCAGTTGATTGAGGATACAACAACAGCGTCTCTGGGAACAATGAAGCAACGAAACAGTGGTAAATTTACGATGATAATCACAACAATCGTAACTCCCTGAGTTCCGAATGTGAGCTATAAAACATCGTTAAGGTTAATTGCTACTCCACGACAGTTTGCAGATGGGTGTCGCACTTGGACAAAGACTCTAATTAAAGGTTTTATTTTCATATGATTACTGAAATGTCTACGCATACCACAGCTTAGTTGACGTCTTTAGAACTTAGAAATAGGCAGATTTAGCAAAGACACGACGTGACGACAGTGACGACGGCGCGCGCAAATAAAAAAATTGGCTTCACTAATGGCAGATTGGCAGAGCGACAAATTGAGCACCGGAAGTCGTGTTCAGTCCTTTCCGCGCACTTCCTCAACTAACTTGCCCGTTCTGTTGCTAAATTACTCCAATAGCTCTTGTAATGGGCAGGAGCCGGGGTCACTTTTGCACGGTGCTATGGATGAGAGATCTCTTAAAAGAGATCTGAGAACTAGGGGCGGATGTCCGGGGGGCGGTGGGGGTGAGGAAGGGGGTCGCTGGGTATCCGTGTACCCCGCTTCTTACCTTAGATACACTCTCCTTTTCTTACCTAATCCTTGATATACCCCTAATAATGTTGTGTGGAAAAACCCAGCTTTACCGTAAAGAATGTAGTAGGACACCCGTTGATCGATTGTTTGATGGTGTGTTGTTACCTTTCACAATTGTTGTTAAATTTGTTGTAGCTGGCAAACGTAACCAGACCTCCGAGACCAACGCTGAGTGAGAAAAAAATCTGTGATGCAGCATCGATCCAAACCTAAAATACAACAGGAATTTTGTTTACGTCAAAAAAGGCAACATGACAGTGTTGCTTTGCAAGTGATCTGACTCATGGTTTGCAACCACGTGACAAGGCGGCCATGTTGGTACTCACGAGAGCGATTAGAACACGCTACATGTAGATGCGTCTTTGTTGAAAACGGAGAAAAAAATCTCCATTTTAAAAAATACCGGATAGGTGTTGACGGGACCTAAATGTCTTTTTTCTCGAAAAAATTACATGAAAAAAAGGAGTTCAGAAGGAGAGAAATGCTTTTGTTCTTTACAATTAAAATGGCCGCCATGATGTCACGTGCAAACCAGCAATTACGTCAGTAAAAAAAATGCAATTTATTTGAGAGTGAATGTATTTAGCACGAAAGTACTCATTGGAGACACTATTTTTGCCTCTCCAACTGGAGACGGGACCGGCATTTTACCAGTTCATCCGAGCCACGCGAAGGGTTAGCTTAGCCGTTTGTAGTGCAAAGAGAATACCTTCATTACACAGTTATTTTAAGACCCTGAGTGTTGGCCCGGTCCCGGCGATCGAACCCGCGACTTCCCCCTCTGCATTCAAGCGCGCTACCAACTGAGCTAATCCTGCCGCAGTTAAGTAAGCAGACAAACGCTTTATACCTGTGGTTCCAAGAGCTTGTTGAAGTCAGGTTTAAGATAAAACATGATTCCGTCGACTGCGCCAGGGAGGGTGACTCCTCTGATCAGCAGGGACAGAAGTATAACGTACGGGAAGATAGCGGTGAAATACGCAACCTGATAATAAAAGAAAATAACACGAAACTTTGCCGTTTGTGTAAGCTTTCTAACTCGGAAACAGCCTTGTCAGTTATAACCCTACCGGCGGCTAACTTGAGTGCTGTTACGACCTTTATTTNTCAGGTTTAAGATAAAACATGATTCCGTCGACTGCGCCAGGGAGGGTGACTCCTCTGATCAGCAGGGACAGAAGTATAACGTACGGGAAGATAGCGGTGAAATACGCAACCTGATAATAAAAGAAAATAACACGAAACTTTGCCGTTTGTGTAAGCTTTCTAACTCGGAAACAGCCTTGTCAGTTATAACCCTACCGGCGGCTAACTTGAGTGCTGTTACGACCTTTATTTCTTTTAAAACAAACAAGACTAGATTCAGTTTATCATAGAGCGATTTTACTTGACCCGTGAAACAGTTAGTAATAACTAGTGCAAAATAGCTATAAATAAACAAAAGAAGACAATAGAATTAGTGCTTAATAGTGCGTACTGTTCTACTACCTATTTCATGGGGAAAGTAAAATCACTCTAACAACTACACTGTACAACTGCAAATGTGATTATAAAAGAACCAAGATTACTGAAATGGCTATGAATGCGCACGAATAGATAAGAGCTGATAAGCTTAAAAATGGAATTAACAGGATTTATTTCTAATTTACTTTGCAAGGGCAATTTTTGGCTAAAAGGAGAAAGGAGGGCGCTTAATCAAGGGGGCACTTATTGAGTAATTTTCCTCCTGTTGTTAATCCAGCGTACCGTATTCCCATTCTACACTTTCTACCACAGCAGTGTATTTGTATAAATATTTAAATTAAAGCTTAAAAAGTTACTGATAAAGTTGCAATATAAAAAGGTTTTGCTTGTTTTCCTACCATTAAAAAGGGGTGTTATGGGGAGGGAGCGCTTACTTAAGAGGGGCACTTGTTTAATATTTGACCTGGGGAGTAGGCGCTTATTAGGGGGAGGGCGCGCGTATTAGAGGGTGGGCGCTTAATAGCGGAAATACATTTATGTGTCGTTTGATTTGAATCTGATTGTCCTTCCTTATAAAAGGAAAACAACCAAATTCAAGTCAAACGACACATACTCTCCCTGGTAGGTGTAACTTGTTTTGAAGCTTTTTTAATAATATGCACGCAACTTTTTAATCAGCTGGAATTGAAATTTCTTTAAGATGAAATTGCCATCCCTTTTAAGTTACAGCTTATACGATTCCAGAAGAAACCGTTACGCTTGAAGTACTACAGTTTACACTGCATTAGTATATGTGCAAGGTGGGCCTGGTTTCTACTTACTTTGCCAGATGACTTAATTCCTTTGTACAAGCAAAAATACACAACAGCCCAGGCGATCAGCAAAGTCGTGGCCAGTGGCAAACGGATTTCACCCGGTTCATCAATTCCATTTGAAATTGCAAGAATATATCGTCTGAAAAAGAAAAAAACCGAAACGTAAATATGCAAATGACTCGCAGCGAACGCGCCGTCCCGGCGTCGCGAGAGGCGGGATCCAGAGGACGGCTTGTTCCAGCCATGCGCGAAAAGATTCGTATCTGCTATGACAGTCATCTACATTACTATTAAGCGAATGGCAAAGTTTTTCAAAATATGCGTGTAAAAAGAAGGAAAACCAGACGCTTCGAGGGTGCTCCTTCTTATTCAGTGGTTCAAAGGCAACTGAAAATTGCATGCACAAAGTAATGTTCAAATATAATTCAAAAACAAAGGCATGACGTTACATGCGTGAGCTGACTTTGAGAGGTTCAAATAAAATTAACTTCACTATTCACTCGATTACTTCCGTTGCACAATTTGAAGAATTATAGTACAGACAACATACTTAAAATCCACCCTTCATCAATTTACCCAACGTCAATTGATCCCTCATTTGTGGTAAACGTTTTTGATATGCTGTTTTGGAATGAAAATGAATGAATAAATGAATGTTTTTAGAGGCCTTTAGCATCAGGTTTTTCATGGAAAACCGCTCTAATAGCTCTAAGTTGACGCCTACGGCAAAGTTCTCTCTCGGCTCCCCCTCCCAAGGCTATGATTTAACACGGTTGAACATATAGAAAAACGTTTCACTTACTCCCAGAATTCCTCACTAGGAGAGGTGAGTTGCATGGTACAGTTCAGCGGTCTTCCCATAGCCGTGCAATTGTAGGTGAAATTGCCCCAACCTTCTTCACTACAAAGAAAAGAAAAAAATGAAAAACGATAGAATCGCCACAGCTAGTGTTTCTGTTGATTACCATATCATTTAATTATAGTAAAAATGTATGTTGAAGCAGGGTGGATTTGTAATTAGCGAGTACCTCGTCTTGCATCGTAGCGACGGCGTTGTTAAGAAATTATATTATTAGCATTAAACTTGTCTAACTGTTTTGAGATTGTGACACTTTTAAACAGCTGCAAGACTGACTGATGAACCTGTGTTCCGAACTAACCGAAAAAATTCTCCAGCGAATTGGAATTTGGTCAAGTTGGTTTTTAAGGAGAGGAGGAGACCATAGTACCCGAAGGAAAACAGTTTGAATCAGAGAGGAGAACGAACAACAAATTGAGATAAGACTAACTCATATGTTGCGTCGTACACGAACCCAGGCCATATTGGTGTAAGGCGAGTGCTCTCTTGTTTTGTGTCTAGGCTAGTTATTTTACCTGCAAAATGCAGTGTTCCATTTGTTGCCGCACGATTTCCAAGCAACTTCCGGTGAAAACGAGTGGTAAAGATACAAAAGGCTCCATGCAATCACCACATTGTAATATACTGATATCAAGAATGAAGTTATAACCATAGCCACCCCAAGACCTGTCAAACGGAAGAGTTTTAAAAAAATGATTTATTTACTAAATTGTGCCCTGGAACGTAAGAACTCAAAAAAGATCGAAAATAACATGAAGAAAGCAAACTATAGAAAAGTACAGTTTGTTATCGTATTCCAGCGTCAGCGTGTTGCAGCACCAGCGTCAAAAGCTGTTTTAAGATGATTTTATTCTTCTATTTTGCATAATTTTAACAGAGGCAGCTAAGAACATATCACACCTGGCTGATTAACAACACATGACGCAGTTAACTTAAGTTATGACGTACCCTTTAATACAGGACAAATTACCGCCCAAGCTTTGATGGCGCCGAGGCTCAGATACTGTCCGAGGGCCAGTTCAAGGTAGAAGAGTGGAATACCACAGGTTATTAACGTTAGGAAATACGGGATGAGGAAAGAAGCTGTTAATATAAGAAAATTAACACATATAAGCTAATGGCAAATATGTATTAAGCGAACCTGTTTTAATTTACCCTAACTGGAAACGTCAGAAAAAATCTCAAATTCAGTGTTGTAATATACTCAAAAACAAAGAGTACCAAGTGGAAGCACATCTAAAGCATAATAAACAGCAGCACAGGAAACGTACTGCTCAGTAGCTTTTATCTGAATGATCACACTTTCAGATTCCAGTCACGGTCTAAAAAAGTTAAGTTAGAACCACCTTGTACAGCATAATAAACAGTACCACAGGAAAGTACTGCTCAGTAGTTTTCATTTGAATGGTCACACTTTAGGATTTCATCCACAGACTCAAAAGTTAGAACCACCTTGTACAGCATAATAAACAGTACCACAGGAAAGTACTGCTTAGGGGCACCCAACGTCAATTTTCGGAAAATATCTGTTCGGAAGACGATTTGAGATCTAGAATTTTCGGAACATTTTTTCTAAAATTTCTTGCTTGCGTACCTCTCCTAGGATTTTCGAACATCTAAAAAATGGTATAATTGCCCATTTTTAACGGATTTTTACCCTAAAAAGGTCACCGAGGATTTTTGGGAGCCTTTTTTCTGGCTGAAATTTTCGACAAGTTTTGATCCCTATAATTTTCGGATCACTAGACTTTCATCTACTAGGAAATCGGAACAGATGAAAAATTTTTAGGGGATAAAAATATGCCTACATCTACCGTTTAAATACTAAACTACGTTGAACAATGCTATGTTTAAGTGGTTTTGAACTATATTCTCGCTGGGTGCCCCTAACTGCTCAATAGCTTTCATTTGAAAGGTCACATTTAGGTAGGTTTTTCATCCGAAGACCACAAAACTCCAACAAGTTCTTTTATGACACCTCGTGTTTCAATCAGGGGGTAATTTTTAAAACTATCCGTAAACGAGTATATTTGAGAGATAACAGAATTACCTCCTCCGTTCTTGTAACAAAGATAAGGAAATCTCCAGATATTTCCAAGCCCAACGGCATAACCAATGCACGACATGATGAAGTCGGCTTTTGCAGTCCACTTTTCGCGTTCCTCGCTCATATTAGAGCTTTTACGCGCCGCTTCAGTAGCGGGGTGAACTTTGTTTGACATGTCTTAACTTTGAAGTAACAGTTTCTCTTTACGTGTCATTGAAATCCATGACAATATTTTCTTTTCCGAATGAATCAACCTCCATCTCGAAAGATATCGATAAACGCTGCTGAAATCATAAAGCTTAATGAGGTAATTATCTTCCCACGTTCCTAGCGCGCGCATCGTTATGGCTCTAAATGTAATTGACTTGATAAAGCAATTTGTTGAATTAGACAGTATTTTCCATTATTCCATGAAACATTGAATTTTCTTAGTCCCAACTCGAGAAAGTGATTCCTCGATCTCTCTTAATCAATCTAATAACTTATTAAACAAACAAATTAACAACAACTAATGACACTTTTACACTTTTACTTTCAGGAATTACCATAAAGTCTTTTTGCAGAAGTTTTTCAATGAAATTAAATAAAATATTATACAAACTTAATCCATAGATGAATAATATTAGAACGTGCAGCTAAGCGAGTGCGAAGTTAGCCTGAGTATCAGGCCTTCCTAAGGGTGATACTCAGGCTAGTGCGAAGTTCGATCAGTACGTTATAATAATTTATGCATTAGGTTCGGTAACTGAAAACTTATCGGCACGCGAGTAGCAAAACCGATTACTCTTAAAAACGTTAATAAATTGGCAAACTCGCACATGACCACTTCTGACACAGGCGTTTCACACTTTCAGGGAACATCTGCGTTCTAAAAACGGCTTTCCTTAAAGTTTGTCTTGCGAAAAAAAAAAATCATTTTAAGAAGAGCCGGTGCGAATGTGAAAGGCTAGATTTTGTGAGGATAAAAATAGAATTTTTTATTTAGAGTAAATTTTTTAAATACGTTGTTAAGTTTATTTAAAAATAATTATTTAATAAATTCTTAAAGTATTTTTTCATTATAGAGCGACATCAACTAAAAACGTACCAAATATGTCACCATTTCCTTTTTTACAATATCTAAACAATTTCTCAGGCACTAATTGGTCTATATAGGTCTGTGCAACTTTTTTTGTATCATATATTAAAACTATCTCAATACTATTTTAAATAATCAGTCAACGCTTATTTATAACATCTGGACAAGTTATGCTTATACAAAAATTATTGATAGTTATCCAATTAAATTAATATTTAAAAAGCATTGATTAGTAAAAACCTCAGGTTCTTTAAAAATTTAGTTAAAACACTTGTCAAAGACTGATGAAATAAAATTAGCCTTCTTTGCGTTCTTTCAGTTTGCGAGTTAGCTTCATTGCTCCCCTGGCAATTTTTGTAAACCAGTACAAGTTGATTGAATCCAGTACAATGCAGGTAGAAATCCAGTAAAAACTTATAAGTGCTCCCAGGTCTTTCTGTTCCTGAGATCCCCAGACGGAATAACACTTGTAGTAGTATAGTGGCATGATTGCTATACGACACAGGAAAAATGACGCGCCCATGATATACCCATTAACAACAAAGCCATGAGATAATCTGGAATAACCAATAGCATCAAAGAACCACCTAGAAGAAATAAGGCATGGTAATTAAATGTCTTTACATAATACAGTTGAACCTCTCGACAACGTCCACCTTGGTGTCAGAACAAAGTGGCCATTGTAGAGAGGTGACCGTTGTAGAGAGGTTTGAACAAGAGTCAATGAATGGACTGTCCAACCAAAAGAGTGGCAGTTGTAGAGAGGTGGCCGTTAGTGGAAGTTTAACTGTATTTATACAGTCAACTACCTTTATTGTAGACACTCAGGACCATGAGTTAGTGACCTCAGTAGTCAAACTCTCTAATAGCAGGAGTAAAATTCAGTTTTGCTGGCTTTTAGCCACTGTCCATATTGGGATGTCTGGCAGGGTGTCCACAAGGCAAAGGTTGTCTGTATCATATGTAGATTTAGAGGGGAAGGAGTGGGTGAGGGCCACACCCCACTCTTGTCTATGAAAAATTAATTTTTTATAACTAATTTATTAATAAATTTTTTATTAATTATTATTGATTAAAAATTAATCATTTTTTCATTAATTAATTTAATTTTTTTTGTCTGGCATTTTTGTTTTCTTTTTAGAATTTTCTCTCAGACTTTTAGAGCCTTAATTTTTGGGCATAAATTCTCAGACCCAGAGTTTTGTAAGAACAAAATAGTTTCTCCGTGTCCTTTAGCTTTTGAGATCACATGCCTTTACAGCTTTTGTTTCATATGTGGGCATTAAAAACAAAAGCTGGAAATTAAGGTATCTGCTCTTTCAGGTTGCATGGAGGGGGGCACTATCTGTGCCCTATCGACCCCTCCCCACTAGATTTTCCAGATCTGCCCCTGATTATTAATAATGACTATGAGAAAGTCTCAGTTTATACTGGAAAGAAATGATATTGTCACAAGCACAGCAGCTTTCATAGTCAATGGAATTGGTCATATTCATGATGTTCTGTTGTTATATATGTTGATTTCTAATAAACAGGGATCAATTTAATAAAGCTTTTACAGGTCAGTATAACCACTGTTTTAGGGTCTGAACACAATAGCTACACCTTGTAAATTACACTTGTAAAAGTTTTATTAACCCTTTAAGTCCCAAATAGTGACCAACAGCAATTTTCTCCTAACAACATCCATACATTGTCAAGAAATAAAGTTATGAGAATTAATAAAATGATCACCTAAGAGAAAATACTTTGATGTTTTTTCAAATTCTCTTAACTAATTTTTAAAGGAAATCTATACAGATCAGTTTGGAGAATTTGAATGTGGATATTGGGGCTTGTTTTAGTCTATGTACTATACAGCACTAACCTCTGATTAACAAACACTGTGGAAATCTCAGCAAGTTGTCGTACATTAGCAAAATAAGGCAGGGAACCATAAACCTGTCAAAACATGGAATAGATTTTGCATTGATGGTAAAACCCTTCAATTTTGTAAAAGAATTTCAAGAAAAGACTATATTTCATTTTCAAAAGAACCAGCCTGGCTGGTATTAGTTCTGACTTTTGGAAAGTACCCTTAGTTTTGATATCGGCTCAGTTTTGATCCAAAAATGTGGATGTTTTTTTGGCATACACTGTAACTCCTTTACGGTACTCACCACAACAAAATAGTAGGCCCATATAGCCATCAGATGATGTGTCACAGTGAACAAATCTCCAATAAGCTTATATGATAGGATTATAATCAGAAAGTCTGAAAAAAGATGAACATGAAATAATCAGTTTTTTTATTGAAGAGTAGACTATAGCTTTCTTTGACATTATAATTAAGATGTGCTACTTGATTAACGCCTTTCAATTGTCATGTATTTGGTCCTAAGAGGTCAGTCTGGGGAGTAACTGAGGCCCTTATAAATGTCTGGTAGTTACCGGTACTTGTACCTGCTGAGATGTAGCCCAATGTGATTGCAATTCCTATTCTCACAAATACAGCATCACTCCTAAAATACCAAAGAGATATTTATTAGCATCAAATACATTACTAAAGTAACAGCTGTGAAGCATTATAAGCAAATAAAAAAAGGAATGACTGTTTTTTAAAATACTCACGCGACAGGATTTGAAGTTGTTTCTGCATCAAAGATAAAACAATACAAACTGATGATACTGACAATTATGGCATGCAGGTTTGAACCAATCCTGCAAGACATGAGAATTATTATTGTAATCAGTTTTTAGGTTAAAGGAAATTGGATCAGAAAGGAAAATTATTCTTTGGATGCACAAGTGAGATCCAGACCTTAATCTAGATTTTGTTGCATTAAGAAGGGGGAGCCAGGGAGGGGTGGAGGGCTGTTCTTCAAATTGTTTTCCTGACCCGCTAGACATTGTTTTGCAATTGGTCAAAAATAGGGTGGTTGCTAGGACCCCTCCCTAAGATCTAATCCACCACTAGGATGGTGGGAAACAGGTGATGGGAGGGGAGGTTGTAACTTGGTCAGATGTCTCTGCTCCTTGATATTACTTGCTATTGAAGGGATCGGAAAATTCAATAGAATAGGCGAGAGGATATGCGGGACAGGGGTTCACACATCCTTCAGGGGACCCAGGGTAAGTCTTTAGGGTTTGCAGGAAAAAAGCCAGAAAACTTTTGTCATGCCTCTTCTCCTGACCCAACTAACTTCCCCTGGGTCTCTGAGGATGGGGTAAACAAGGGACATATTTCTATATGATTTTCAAAGTTAACAAGCAAGTATGCAAAGAAACAACATGTGATTTTGAATATTGTATTGTTGTCTAAAAACTTCACTTTTCTTCTGTCAATCAAGACCAAAGTTTCCAGAGGGGTAGGAAGAACATGAATCATTGTTCTGAAGGGAGGGGAGGGATCTTCATGGAACTCCTCCCTGTGGATTTTTTCTGGAGCTGCAAATGTAATCGTGCTGATTAATTACCTTGTGTTCCAATCAATCCTCTTGGCTACAGAAAGCTTTTGGTAGCCTGGGATAACTAGTGATGAGAATCTTGGACTTATAAAGTAGAACAGAAATAAGCAGGATGAAAAGCTAGCCACAGCTGTGGCTACATAGAGGTTGCAGTCTTTTTGTTTCAGGAATAGCTCATCAAGATCTGTAAGAAGAACGAATCACCATTAGTTTTCTATACAACTCAGCTATTATTAGAAGAGTATGATAAATTAGGTATTCTGAAAAAAAAGAGACGACATATCGCCAGAAGGTAAGGTAGAAGAGACCAGAAAATAAATTGTCACAATCCTCCCCCCACCCCCTCACCACCCATACCCCCTCCCTGCCAAGTTTTTTTGGCCAGTTTAATAGTACCAATTTAGGTTCTAATCCATGCAGCCCGATCCAAATACATTGCTTCCGAGTTTATAAATATTCTCTGCCAAGAAAAAGGCCAACACATATGAGATAATCTAATATATCAAGGGGATATCAAGAAGCCTACTCATGATGAAACTCACACGCGCGTGTGACGCAAAACAACAATTTTATTTTTCAAACCACTTACCAGATTTACTCATCGTTGTCAAATTTCACTTAATCACCTAAGTACCGTCAAGGAAGTTGGATTGTAAGTTCTTTCAAGTCAAAACAAAGGCAACTCCAAGAACAATACGATCTCTGTCACGTGTCACGCCAGGTAATAATTGAGCCGCCACGTCCATGATCCAGTTGTAAAATCACAAAATTTGTGCGTGCGCTTATATTAAAAAAAGATTGCGCTGATCACGCTAGCAAGGTTGTCTTCTCTCCTATTTTTGTGAACATCATGGATATTTGTACCGCGATTTTCTCTGTCTTTGCAGTTGTTCTTTTGTTAGCACTTGTAGTTATTGTACGAAGTGTGTACGTTTTGAAGAGAAGAGGAAATAATGTGGCATTGGACAAGAGAAAACCCGTGAAGGTGATGGTTGTCGCAGGCTCAGGTTCGTCCTCCTCTTATGTTAAAAATTCTTCGATTTGGATAGCGAAACAGACACGTTTGTGGAGTAATCATCGAAAATGCTTCTTGCCTTTGTTATGACTGAAACAGTAAGCGAAGGCCAGTGAAGGCTTTCAATAATCAACAGCTCGTTGTTGTTTGCGGGGAGTGGGGATAGGTAAAGGAAAGCAGTAGGGGGAAACTGAATTCCCATATAAAAACTGCCCTCCAAAACGAAAAGATAAAACAATTAAGAATAGAAAACTTATACATATCTATACATCATGTGATACTAAGAGAAAAAAAAAACAAAAACAAACAAACAAACAAAAAAAAAAACAAAAAAACAAAATTTAGTTGTTTTGTTTTTGTTTTTTTTTCCCTATCCCCTTCCCCTTTTCTTTAATAAACTAAACCATTAGTAATAAACTAAACCGTTAGTTTTGATATCGGCTCAGTTTTGACCCAAAATGTGGACGTCATCTCGGCATAAACTGTAACCCCTTTACGGTACTCACCACAACAAAATAGTAGGCCCATATAGCCATCATATGATGTGTCACAGTGAACAAATCTCCAATATGCTTATATGATAGGATTATAATCAGAAAGTCTGAAAAAAGATGAACATGAAATAATCAGTTTTTTTATTGATGAGTAGACTAGCTTTTTTGACATTATAAATTAAGATGTGCTACTTGATTAAGGGCTTTTAGTTGTTATTTATTTGGTCTTAAGAGGAGAGTCTGGGGAGAAACTGAGGCCCTTATAAATCTCTGGTAGTTACTTGTACCTGCTGCGATGTAGCCCATTGTGATTGCAATTCCTATTCTCACAAATACAGCATTACTCCTAAAATATCATAGAGATATTTATTAGCATCAAATGCGTTACTAAAATAACACCTGTGATGCAAAAGCAAATAAAAAAAAAGGAATGACATTTTTTCTTAAAAAACTCACGCAATAGGATTTGAAGTTGTTTCTGCATCAAAGAAAAAACAATATAAACTGATGATGCTGACAATTATGGCATGCAGGTTTGAACCAATCCTGTAAGACATGAGAATTATTATTGTAATCAGTTTTTAGGTTAAAGGAAATTGGATCAGAAAGAAAAATTATTCTTTGGATGGACGAGTGCGATCCAGACCTTAATCTAGATCTTGTTGAATTAGGAAGCAGGAGCCAGGGAGGGGTGGGGGGTTGTTCTTCAAATTGTTTTCCTGACCCGGTAGGCATTGTTTTGCAATTGGTCAAAAATAGGGTGGTTGCTAGGACCCCTCCCTAAGATCTAATCCACCCCAAGGATGGTGGGAAACAGGTGATGGGAGGGGAGGTAGTAACTTGGTCAGATGTCTCTGCTCCTTGACATCACTTGCTATTGAAGGGATCGGAAATTTCCAGAGAATAGGCGAGAAAATGGAACTTGTTGTTATGCAGGACAGGGGTTAACACGTCTATCCTTCAAGAGACCCAGGGTAAGTCTTTAGGGTTTGGAGGAAAAAAGCCAGAAGACTTTTGTCATGCCTCTTCTCCTGACCCAACTGACTGCCCCTAGGTCTCTGAGGATGGGGTAAACAAGGGACATATTTCCATATGATTTTCACAGTTAACAAGCGAGTACGCAAAGAAACTATATGCTGTGTCCTTTGTCTAGAAACTTCACTTTTCCTGATCCTCTGTCAATCAGGACCAAAGTTTCCAGAAGGGTAGGAAGAACATGAATCATTGTTCTGAAGGGAGGGGAGGGGTCTTCAAGGGACCCCTCTCTGTGGATTTTTTCTGGAGATGCAAACGTAATTGTGCTGATTAATTACCTTGTGTTCCAATCAATCCTCTTGGCTACAGAAAGCTTTATGTAGCCTGGGATAACTAGTGATGAGAATCTTGGACTTATAAAGTAGAACAGAAATAGGCAAGATGAAAAGCTAGCCACAGCTGTGGCTACATAGAGGTTCCAGTCTTTTTGTTTCGGGAATAGCTCACCAAGATCTGGAAGGAGAACGAATCACCTTTAGTTTTCTATACAACTCAGGTATTATTAGAAGAGTGTACTAAATTAGGTATTTTGAAGAAAACAAATACAAACATATTGCCAAAAGGTTAGGCCGAAGAGCCAGAAATTCATAACCACATTCCTCCCCACAACCCTGCCCCCTCACCACCCATACCCCCTCCCTGCCAAGTTTTTTTGGCCAGTTTAATTGTACCAATTTAGGTTTTAACTCATGCAGTCCGATATAAATACATCGCTTTCCGAGTTTATAAATATTCTCAACCAAGAAAAAGGCCAACACACATTAGATAATCTAATATATCAAGAAGCCTGCCCATGACGAAACTTAATACACGCGCGTGTGACGCACAACAGCAATTTTATTACTTAAACCACTTACCAGATTTACTCATCGTTGTCAAATTCCACTTAATCACCTAAGTACCGTCAAGGAAGTTGGAATGTAAGTTCTTTCAAGTCAAAACAAAGGCAACTCCAAGAATAATACGATCGCTGTCACGTGTCACGCCAGGTAATAATTGAGCCGCCACGTCCATGATCCAGTTGTAAAGTCATAAAATTTGTGCTTGCGCTTATGTTAAAAAAAGATTGCGCTGATCACGCTAGCAAGGCTGTGTTTCTACTTTTGTGAACATCATGGATATTTGTACCGCGATTTTCTCTGTCTTTGCAGTTGTTCTTTTGTTAGCACTTGTAGTTATTGTACGAAGTGTGTTCGTTTTGAGGAGAAGAGGAAATAATGTGGCATTGGACAAGAGAAAACCCGTAAAGGTGATGGTTGTCGCAGGCTCAGGTTCGTCTTGTCGATCTATTAACAGACACGTTTGTGGAGTAATCATCGAAAATCCCTGTTGTCTTTGTCGTGACTGAAACAGTAAGCAAAGGCCAGTGAAGGCTTGCAATAATCAACAGCTCGATGTTGTTTGCGGGAGTGGGGGTGGAGGGGGGAGGGGTTGGCTGTAAGGTGGGAGAGTGGTAGTGGTAATGAAGTTGTGTAACTTACTTGTTCTCAGACCACAATACACTGAATTTCATATTCCCTGCCTGTCCTGTCTCTAAAATGACAATTTCTTTTTTCTTATTGTTTTAGAGATAGGCTCTCTGTCATTTTTATTATTGGCTAGCAAGTGTTAGGTCTGAACATCTAAAGAGCACCATTTTCAGATTATAACAGGCTAAGAACATACCACAGGGCTGCTAAAAGGATGTTCCCCTGCCTCTCTCTATCACTTCCCCCTCCTCCTCCACTTGGAGAAATCATGACCCCCCCACCCCCTTCCCCACACACACACACACACACACACACACACAGTTCCTCATCTGAATGATCAGAGTTAGAAATATTATTGTAGGCTTTATTGGATTCAGTGAAACACCTACTATATTTGTGAGAATTAAACAATACTGATGTGATGTGTTTTTAATATATTTTGTTTTCTTAAAGGAGGACACACAACTGAAATGATGAGACTTCTAGGGTCACTTTCTTCTTATTACCAGCCCCGCATTTATATCATCGCTGAAACTGATAAAATGAGTGTTGAAAAAATTACTACTTTTGAAAAGGAGAAAACAAACAGAGGAGGTTCTGAGGTAGGTATTGATAAATCAGTGTAAGAAAGTAAGGTATTGATTTTATTTATTTCAATTTTATTAGCATTTCCTTATGTGACTTGGAAAACACAACTTGTGTTGATTACTTTACCCCTGAAACAATCCCTTTCTTCTGAAGTGCCCTATGTTTGAGGAGATAAATTACAACCGACCCAGGTCTGTATCCCGATTTGTTGGATGAATGAAGGTGTGACTGAATTACTATCCCTTTTTACAACTGGTTACTAACCTTCTAAGGAGTAGTATTTGGTTGTACACGACAACCATACCGTAACTAACTTTATCAATGATGGATTAAAACTAGGTTGGCTAGAAGGGTCCCTACCCTACCCTTATCACTAGGTCTAGATGTTTTACTGTTTATAAATACTTAACTCACATCTTACTTGAGATACCCATTAGGACTTAAACGGTTGCAACTGAACTGAAAAATGAGAAATACTGCTTTTTGATGCCAAGAGTTTTTTCAGTTGCATTGCAATACTAAGTGATACTAAGTTGTCGAAATGATAAAAAATAATATAAAAAATTTATGCAATGTACATGTTATGATAGTCAAAATTTTGAAAATTAATCGGTGCCCATTCTTTTTCAGTTTAAGGTTCTTAGAATTCCTCGCAGCAGAGAAGTGCGTCAATCATGGCTTTCAACAATCTTTACAACATTGAATGCAATTATCTTTTCTTTTCCTGTTGTATTTCGGGAGAAACCAGATTTGGTAAGAACTGTTCCTACAATTGAAAGAAGATCATTCTTGGAGTATAAAAAGCCACATAACCATGCTTTAACTCTGCTTTTTAAATTTCTCTCTAGCTTCTTTGTAATGGTCCTGGCACATGCATTCCAATATTTTTAGCAGCTTTTGCCCTGAAGGTAAGATACGTTGGTTATTATTATCAGTGTTATTTGTATATATATCATAAATAAAACCACATCATCATTGATAAAGTTTACACTAGTGGTAGGTTGGTTGGTTTTATCGTTTTCATTTTTCCGTTTTACTGTAAATGGTATTCTTAAGCCACTCCTTATGGAAGCTAGTTTATGCTTATGCACTTTTTTCAACAATTTTATTGAACTTGATGATTAGTGTGTATTGTGTCTTTGGTTAGCTTTGGTTTATTTTTCCTTGTGCTACAGAAACATCTGAAGTGGTGGCTTAACTCTTGAAGCCCTATTATATACATACAAATTCTCCAGACTAATCTCTATACAGTTCCTCCAAGAATAACTTGAAAGAATTTGAACAAAGATCAAACATTTTCCCTTTGGTGATCATTATTATAACCTGTTTTCTTCAATTACATTGGTATTTTAAATGAATATGATGATTGTCTCAGTGGTAATTGCAATTTAAGCAACTGCAAATAAACCCTAAAAAAAATTGGGTCTTCAAACCTTCAACCATGGGTTTGAATCCTGTTAAAGTCCTGAAAATTTTTCAGGTTTATTTGCAAATAATTGCTTCAATTGCCATTACCACTGTGATGATCACATCTTCATTTAAAATATCAATGTAATTGAAGTAAATAGGTTACAATAAAATATATAAGAAAATAAAAATTACCACTGCAACGATCATATATTCATTTAAAATTTGTATTTCTGCAGTTCACATTATCTTCATTTTACATTGATGTTGGTAGGAGGAATATTGATGTTGGCCTTTTTTGGAACTTAAAGGCTTAAATTCTGAATCCTTAATAGGTGTACCCCTTTTGGACATAACCTTCCCAAATTAGGCGATAATAAGAAGTTCCCCCCCCCACATCATGGGAGGGGGGGCAGGGTAAAGAGTAAGACACCTTGTAGAACAACATGTGTTAACTAATATTATCATATAATTTCTCTTTTTCAGGTCACTGGTGTAAGAGATGTAATCATAGTATTTGTGGAAAGTATTTGCCGAGTAAAGACATTATCATTATCAGGGAAAATTATGTATCACTTTGCTGATCACTTTCTAGTTCAATGGAAACAACTTCAAGTGAAATTCCCAAAGGCGATATACCTTGGAAGACTTGTGTGATAAGATATTTGACTATTTAAGGATTTTTTAATAAAACACTCATTCCTGTGCAATGGAGTAGTCATTAGTTTAACTCTCCCCCCCCTTCCCCGCCACTGCATTTTTCTGCCACCCCTTGCTTCCATCAAAAACTTGAGAAGCGGCATCTGCATTCAACCACTGATGACCATGCATGCGTCCCAGAATTATTTTGCATCCTTGTCAACTTTCTCTATTGTAAAATGGATAATTTTCTAAACAAACATATGGGCTTTTTACCCTGAATCTCTTTGGCAGGCATCTCTGTAAGATGGACTTAAAGTGCTAAAAACGTTGGTGCTTGTCATCAAAGGGATCTGCTTGTGCTTTAGTGCAAGGCACTTACTTTGCCTAGATTTTAACCCAATTTTTAAAAACAATAATATGCATTTAATAGAAAAATAATTGCCAATTAACTAGATTGATTGTTTCTAGAGTAATGCTCTATGAAGAAAATAGTGTTTCAAAGCTTCCAGGGGGATGTCCCAAGATCCCCCTCCCTCGCAGCTTGTCCCAGAGGCAGATTTTACCTTGCATATGATAAAAATATGGCCATGGTTCTGGCTGACTATGTACTGCAAGAAACCATCAACTTATTAATGCCAAGGAGTAAATTGATAGACAAAATAATAGAAGACAGTAAATGCTTTGATTGAGCAAACAGGATTATTTGTTTTGCTTTTATTTGGCACACTTTAACCCTTCTAATTAACCATTCCACTGCCAGAGTGCTTAATGGAGCTTTGTAAGGCGACTCTAACTTTTGAGTCTGTGGACGAAATCCTATGATGTGACCATTCAAATGAAAGCTCTCTGCCTGTACTTACACATAGTTCTATTTGTTTTTCAAAATTTCACAGAATGAAATTTGAAAATTTGGTCGAAATTTGCTTTTGGCTAAATTTGGCAGTGAAAGGGTTAAGATAAGATTGCTCCCACATAGTCAGTGGAGAGAACTGTGCCTCCCATTTATCAATATTCTTTTGAGGAAACCTCACTGGGTCCAAATAATGTTATTGTGATCTCTGGATATTAATTCCTACTGTTTTTTATTAGACAAGTATAGAAATGACCATTAGTACACAGGCTACTCAAGGACAATTTCATGGGAAGTCTGTGACACTGATAGTCATGTCAACTCTTCATGTTTTATAATAATTTTTTTTTCTTTTGTTATTTTAGAAACTGGTAAACATTTACACTTAGTAATAAAAATTAAATGCTTGAAACAAATTAAAGAAAAAAAAGGTTGTTATCTTTTTAGGAAAGATGCGACTTTCTGTTCCTTACGTATAGAGTTTACTAAAAGTTCTGCAAGTGTTTCGGACTAGTTCTAGTTTGGTCCAGAAAATAGCCATACACATCAGAATTGAGATACAAACCTTTGCAAACCTTTCCTATCCACTGCCCCCCTCCCCCCACCCACCCGCCAACTTGAAATAAACTTTAAATTAATGACAACTGGAGGAGACAATTGACATGATTAAAAAAGCAAGCAGAATTTGGGTGTTTAGCTCTCCCTAAAAGAATCGAAGGCATGTGACCTTCCTGTACTGCCCGCAGGGTCCTCCATCCTAACAACCCAACTTGTCCCCCACCCACTAAGTAGATTTGATACTCTCTCCACATTGAACTTTCATTTGAAACCAATATGGGTGCTCGTGAATTGCTCGATGTCGACGAGTGTATAGAAAACAGAGGACTATAAAACAGTCTATGTAAAGCTAGATTTTCTCGAGAGATACCGGTACGTAATAAGGAACTTTTTGTTTTTGTTGGAGCTCGTGACAATTAACCGGAAGTCTTTTGTTCTTTGTGAAAATATTCGAGGAGGATGCCACTACCAAATATGGATTGTAAATCGATGACGTCGTCTCTATCTCACGAAAGCCTTCCGCTCTCTCGAAGATCAAAAGTGCTGTTTCATCAGCAATTTTCTTATTTTCGTTTAGTTAGGGAAAGAAATACGGCGTTTGTAGGTGAGTAGTTTTTTAAGGTTGTTAATATGTAAATTTATCCGTGTGGGTCGAGCATATGTTTACATCTTATCCGGATCTCGTCAGCTGGTTCGCTGTAAAAGTAGCTGACTCGATCGTACAATCAAGGCACTGGAAGTTATACAAGGTCGTGTTTTGATTTGAAAGTCATCTCGGCAAACAATGTCTAAGCGTTTCAATTTTTTATTAGATCCAAGTAAAGGGACAATATTTAAGATACCTCCTAGTTTTAAGGAAATTTGCCGTTAAAATTCCTAAATCTTATGCCTCAAGATCCATGCAAGTTCAAGCTTGTAATATTTACTGTCTGTCTCGCACATGTGAGAACGGACGTTGTTATAAGCCTGATAAATGATCAAAGGTATTGAATAGTGGGTGAGAAAATGTATTTTTCGTTTGAAATCAATGCCGAAATTTTGGATCTATAAAAAACGAGAACTTAAGGTTTTGTTGTACCCGCTGTTGGTGGTCGAGTAACTCAATAAGCAAATGTAAATTTCTTGACACCATTCTATTCCAATACATTTTTAAAGCCTCTGCCTCGGTTTAATAATTTAACGGGAAAATTTATTTAATCAGGAGTGTCTTATAACAAATCCCATTTTCTATGTAGCGTTGAGTCGGCTGTCTTTAACTGAAAAGTGATTTTCTTTAATCGATCTTCAACAAGTTGTTCCTTAAAAATATTCCTCAATGGAATCCACATGATCAACTTTTTGGTGAATAATTTATGAGCCTAATAAACCTAATATTTCCTGTCAGTAGAGGATTCTAACCGAAACTGGTAAGTCTTTTGTCAAAAAGTAGCGAAATTGAATGATATGTAGAAAATAATTGTCTTAACTTGTTGTTAACAAGAAAGTACGAACTCTCCCGCCCACAAGTGTCAATATGCGATTTTGCGGTTAAACGAATGATGATAAAATTTTATTATCATTATAAGATATACTTTTGTTTTCGTAACATTCACTTAAAAAATATGTGAATGCTTAAAACTGTCACATTTGAAGCTGAAAGGTGTGAATTAGTACTTAAAGATACTTTTATTACAGGCTTAAACTGGATCAAAGTAAAGTGAAGTGCAAATTATCTTCAATTATCTTCAGTGGTTTATTCTGATTATTATTTTTTTTACTATTACATTATTAATGCATTTTGGATTTCAAAAGAAAAAGTAATTAGATTTTTCAGGTAGAACTCAAAAACAAGGAGAATGCACCGAATGAAAGGTTAGGAATTTGTTAAGGAGCTTTTCCTGTATATTGCTCTCAGTACAAAACGATATATCTTTCAAGTATCTATTTTATTCCAACCAACAAGGAATGTTGTGATATTGCTTGGAGTGTCTGTTTTAAACAATGCCTTCTACAAATGAAATGTATTTTGTTCTGTGAAAGTCCCATTACTTGTATTAGCAGTGATAGTGCAGGAAGTGAGTTCATTGGCGAAGAGTTTTAAGATTTTTTTCCGTGTTGTGTACGTTTGCTCTTACTTTTTGAGATTATATTGGCTGGCTCAGCGAACATGTCGTAAATTAGAAATTTTGTGGATTTTGATTGTTTTTAGCACCCTCAAAAGTACTTCATAGTTGAAAACGATGATTCATTTGTATGCTTGTTGTAAACAACATCTTTTGCAACAAATATTATTTTGATCCGGTTGTCCTCCTTGTCCTTTACAAGTTTGATCTGCAGAGCTGTGTAGATGAAAGATAATATTTAAAATAGCTCTTAGATTTATGGAAGTGGCAACAAAATTAAAACAAGAAAAAATAAAGCAAGCATTCAAAAAATCCTCTTGGACTTCACTACATATAGACTGACTGAAGAATAAAACTCCACTAGAATGTAACTGGATATCACCAATGTGGACAAGAAGACAAATCGGTGCTTGCCAATCAACATTGTTGTGCCTGGAGATGATAACCTCGCCAAGAAAGAATTTGGAAAGATAAACAACTATGCTAACGTCATATTGGAAGCAGAAAGGATATAAAAAACACAACTGTGGTGATCCCTGTAGTGATTTATTACACATGTAGAGAACTGGATGATTAATTGACATTACTCCCAAATCTCCCTACTTTCTTGATGAATGAGGATCCAAGACAGTATAAAACTGGGTTATTTTAGGAATCAGTCAGCAGGGTTTTTGTCCAATACTGCAACACTGTGACGTCACAGTAAAGAATAGCTTATTTTTGTTTGCTTCTTTCAGATTCTCGACCTCCTCAAAGGGGCTCTCCAATGGCATCCCCGCTCAGGAACTCTCCAGTTTCCTTTTCACATAGTACTGACGTAGACAGTGGAAGCAACTCAAATCTGCAGTATCACTTCACTGACGTGGCCCATAGCAAAGACCTTGTGAATGCTCTCAAATTTTTGCGTCAAGATGAGGACTTGTGTGATATTGTTCTCAGGGTTGGTGGTACCAATATTTCAGCACACAAAGTTGTGTTATCTGCAAGTAGCCCATATTTTAAAGCAATGTTTACTGGTAAGTTGCCTGTTATTTCAGTTGCAACACTATTAGAGGATTAATAAGAGAAAAAGAGACCCTTTCCCACCCCTCCCCCCCACAAATTCCTTAAATCCTGCCTATGCCCCTGCAAAGTACCATACCACAGTGTGGGTAGGGGTAAAACCACCACCTGGTTAGTTCAGTTGGGAGAGTGCGGGTCTGCTGAGAAGGGGGTCGCGGGTTTGAACCCCAGCCGTACCAACACTCAGGGTCTTAATTGACTGAGAAGAAAGTGCTGCCTGTGTGATGACATCTGCAAATGGTTAGACTTTCTTAGTAGTCTTCTTGGATAAGGATGAAAAACCATAGGTCCCATCTCACAGCACTTACACTTGTTCAAAAACCCAAACCACTGTTCGAAACGAGTAGGGGACGTAAACCTCAGTGGTGTGGTCAACCTTCACACATCATTCCCATCATGGGTTGGATGAGTACATTAACCTCATAAAAAAATGGACAGATAGTGGCGGCCAGTGGCGCCTTTGTATGCTGACGTCTCAGCTTACTGTTAACATGTTAATATATATTGTAAAGAGGGCACTTCAGTTGTCTCTCATCCATGACTCCTTCCTTCTTTCCTTCCTTCCTCCCTTCTTTTGGGGATGAGTGAACATGTTGTGAAACAGTTCATTGAATAGAAGTTGCTGTCTTCTACTTGTTACATGTATATCACTCTAAAGCGAAATCAGGAATTGTTTGCAGAAAGAGTGAACCCCAAAGATCACATTCCACCATAGACAATCACCCTCTGACAATGTCAGTTTAGG